GGGGCACATTTGGGTCCCCTCACTTGCAAACCACCTGGTGGGGGAGGGGCCTGGGGGGATTTTGGGGTTTTGGGGGTTCCCGGACCCATTTTTGGGGATCCCTGACCCATTTTTTGGGGGTTTTGGGGTCCTTGACCCATTTTGGGCATTTTTGGGTTCTCTGATCCCATTTTTGGCTCCCTGACCCATTTTGGGGGGTTTTGGGGGGTTTTTGGGCTCCCTGACCCCATTTTTGGCTCCCTGACCCATTTTCGGGCTCCCTTTCCCCATTTTCGGGGTCCCTGACCCATTTTCGGGCTCCTCTCCCCATTTTCAGGCTCCTTTCCCCATTTTTTGGCTCCCTCACCCATTTTCGGCTCCCTCACCCATTTTCGGGGTCCCTCTCCCCATTTTCGGTCTCCCTGACCCATTTTTTGGCTCCCTGACCCCATTTTCGGGGTCCCTCACCCATTTCCGGGCTCCTTTCCCCGTTTTCGGGGTCCCTCTCCCCATTTTTTGGCTCCCTGATCCCATTTTCGGGGTCCCTGATCCGATTTTCGGGGTCCCTGACCCATTTTCGGGCTCCCTCTCCCCATTTTCGGGATCCCTTTCCCCATTTTTTGGCTCCCTGTTCCCATTTTTTGGCTCCCTTTCCCCATCTTTTGGCTCCCTGACCCCATTTTCGGGGTCCCTCACCCATTTTCGGGCTCCCTTTCCCCATTTTCGGCTCCCTCACCCATTTTGGGCTCCCTCACCCCATTTTTTGGCTCCCTCACCCATTTTCGGGCTCCCCGTCCCAGGCGCTGCGGGTGCTGCCCACCCCCGGCCACACCCCCGGCTGCGTCACCTTCGTGCTGGACGACGCCTCCATGGCCTTCACCGGGGACGCGCTGCTGGTGCGCGGCTGCGGCCGCACCGACTTCCAGCAGGGTGACTGGGAGCACTGGGAGCACTGGGAGAGGGCTAAAGGGGGCCTGGGGGTACTGGTTTGTACTGGGAGGGGATTGGGAAAGGGTTAAAGGGGCTTTGGGGTTACTGGTTTGTACTGGGAGGGGATTGGGAAAGGGTTAAAGGGGGTTTGGGGTTACTGGTTTGTACTGGGAGGGACTGGGAAAGGGTTAAAGGGGGATTTGGGGGCACTGGTTTATACTGGGAGGGGACTGGGGGGGACTGGGATAAACTGGGAGGGACTGGGAAAGGGTTAAATGGGGTTTGGGGTTACTGGTTTATACTGGGAGGGACTGGGAGGGGTTTGGGGGGGACTGGTTTGTACTGGGAGGGGATTGGGGGGACTGGGAGGAACTGGGAGAGGGTTAAAGGGAGATTTCGGGTTACTGGTTTATACTGGGAGGGGATTTGGGGTTACTGGTTTATACTGGGAGGGGATTCAGGGTTACTGGTTTATACTGGGAGGGGATTGGGAAAGGGTTAAAGGGGGTTTGGGGTTACTGGTTTATACTGGGAGGGGATTGGGAGGTTCTCGGCGCAAACTGGGATTGACTGTGCTGAACTGGGACTGAACCGGGTGGGCACGGGGAGGGCACTGGGCTGAACTGGGAGGCACTGGGATGAACTGGGACAAACTGGGAGGGCATGGGGAGCAAACTGGGCTGAACTGGGAGGTCACTGAGGTGAATTAGGAGTCACTGGGAGTGAACTGGGAGTGAACTGGGAGGGCCCTGGGAGGGATTGGGCTGAACTGGGCTGAACTGGGACAAACTGGGAGGGCACTGGGAGGGATTGGGATGAACTGGGATGAACTGGGACAAACTGGGAGGGCACTGGGAGGGATTGGGCTGAACTGGGATGAACTGGGAGGGCGCTGGGGTGAATTAGGAGTCACTGGGATGAACTGGGACAAACTGGGAGGGCACTGGGAGGGATTGGGATGAACTGGGATGAACTGGGAGGGCGCTGGGGTGAATTAGGAGTCACTGGGATGAACTGGGAGTGAACTGGGAGGGCCCTGGGAGGGATTGGGCTGAACTGGGATATACTGGGATGAACTGGGAGGGCGCTGGTCAGGCTCAGGGCTCTGTCTGTCCCTGTTGCCATGGGAACGGTCGCCATGGTGACGGTGATGGCGGCCATGGTGACCACGGTGATGGTCGCCATGGTAACAGTGGTAATCCCCCGGTCGCCATGGCAACCGCCGCATCCCGGTCGCCATGGGGATGGTCGCCATGGGGATGGTCGCCATGGGGACGGTCGCCATGGGGATGGTCGCCATGGGGATGGTCGCCATGGGGATGGTCGCCATGGGGACGGTCGCCATGGGGATGGTCGCCATGGGGATGGTCGCCATGGGGACGGTCGCCATGGTAACCACCACATCCCGGTTGCCATGGTGACGGTGGCCATGGTGACGGTGGCCATGGTGACGGTGGCCATGGTGACGGTGGCCATGGTGATGGTCGCCATGGTGACCGCAGGCTGTGCCCGCACCCTGCACCGCTCGGTGCACGAGAGAATCTTCACCCTCCCCGAGAGCTGCCGGATCTACCCCGGACACGACTACCGGGGTGGGGGAGGGGCTGGGGGAGGGGCCAAAGGGGTGGGG